CAAGCAGATCATGAGGTCAGGAGTTTGAGACCAGCCTGGCCAACATGGTAAAACCCCATCTCTACTAATAATACAAAATTTAGCTGGGCATGGTGGCACATGCCTATAGTCCCAGCTACTCAGGAGGCTGAGGCAGGAGAATTGCTTGTACCCGGGAGGCAGAGGTTGCAGGGAGCTGAGATTGTGCCACTGCACTCCAGCCTGGGTGACGGAGGGAAACTCCGTCTCAAAAAAAAAAAAAAAAAAAGGAACTTTAACGTGTTTTTAGGGTCAAAATGTCTTTAACATCTGGGATTTGCTTTAAAATTCTTTCAGAAACTCAAAAAAAAAAAAAAGACCAGGTGCAGTGGCTCATGCCTCTAATTCCAGCACTTTGGGAGGCCGAGGCGGGCGGATCACCTGAGGTCAGGAGTTTGAGACCAGTCTGGCCAACATGGCGAAATCCTGTCTCTACTGAAAATAAAAAATTAGCCGGGTGTGGTGGTGGGCACCTGTAACCCAAGCTACTTTGGAGGCTGAGGCAGGAGAATTGCTTGAACCTAGGAGGTAGAGGTTACAGTGAGCCAGGATTGTGCCACTGCACTCCAGCCTAGACAACAGAGCAAGAGACTCTGTCTCAAAGAAAAAAAAAAAGATGAACAATGCTAATATCTGGTTAGCCCAGGTGGCAGGCCCGGGGCTCTGGGCTCCGGGTGTTTGCATTGTTCCAGGCAAGCCTGCCTGCTTCTGGACAGCACCTCCACCGCTGGCTGGGAGCTTTGCCTGGCTCTCCACTTGCATCCAGAAGGCGAGCATGGGGAACCAGGAGCCAAGTGTTTGGGGCAGTGGCAGGGGTTGTGGCCTCCTGGGAACCCTCCCAGTCCCCAGTGACCCTCAGCACCAGGCTGGCCAGGCCCATGGGCGGGGAGGAAAATGCACAGCCTGGGCTCCTGGCAGCCGCACGCAGTGTGACCACAGCTGAGCAGCTCTGCAGGAGTGGTGGCCCCATGGTCACAGGGACGGGATCACAAACCAGGATCCTTGAATGGGCTGGGATCTGACCACTTCCCTGGCCCTCACCCCCAGCACCCCCTCCAGCTGCACATGCACATACATGTAGTTGCACACACACATGCACACCCTCCTACACCACCCAGACAGTCCCCACAGCAGGCAGCCAGGATGGAGGGAGCACCTTTCCGCCTGTCTCACTGTGGGTCTGGGCTTGGGCTGACTTGGTACAGCCTCTGGCCAGGGTCAGGAGGCAGAGGCACCGCCCCGCCTGAGCTCTCGGAGCTGGGCAGTGCCCCTTGTTGTTCTCCTGCCCCTCAGTGGGTGGCTGGTCCTGCTGGGTGCCTGGGTCCAGCACAGCTGCCACAGGTTAGGCCACCAGCCTAGGCAGGAAGAACAGGGTGAAGATGGCAGAGCCCCTGGGAGAGCTTCCTGGGACCAGATCTTCAGCTTGTGGGCAGCAAGCACCCCACCTGGCTCTTGCCCTGTAGGCTGCCCGGCTTCATCACTGGTGGGGTCAGTGGTGGGGCAGCCCCTCCTGGTGCCCAGCACCACAGTGCCCTCTGTCCCCAGGCCTGCCCAGCGCTTTGTAGGGTCCTGGAATGCCCCTTCACTGATCCCGGTGGGAGATGAACCCACCTCTAATGAAAGTCCTGTCAACCAGATGCAGCCCACGGGCCTGGCTGTGCTGTGCCTCCGCTCCAGGAAGAGGATCCCCGGGCAGCCTGGTGGGTGGGTTCGCCTGGCATGCTGGATTTCTCCGCAGCTTGCGATAGAGGCACTTGCAGGGAGGCACACGTGTGAGTACAGGACACAGGAGCTTTCATCAGGCAGCGGCTGCGTGTTTGTAACGGTCCCGTCCAGGTTGCTTTATTTTGAATCTGAAATGGAGTTTTCGACTCCACTCTGGGCGTCCACCCAACAGGTGCCTGTGGACACCCACCTGCTCCCCACCATGCAACTTGCTAACCTTCAAGCGGATCAGTGTGACTACTCCCCAGTCTGATGGTCTGCAGGAATGTGGGGGCAGCAAGGTTACAGGGCCTCAGGCCAACCCAGGGATGGGGGCACAGCTTGTACATTTGGGGCTTTTTTACAGAAAGACGAGGGTGCTGAAGGGCCCCTGAAGGTCCCAAAGGTGGCAGGGCCGGGCCAGGCAGTGAGCCCGAGCCTGGTGTCTACAGGCCGACGGGAACCACTGCACAGTGGCTGTGGCCAACAGGCTGCCCAGAGCATGTCATTTTTAGGGCCTTTCCTGGACCTTCCATTCCAGCTCTCTGTAGGTTTTCCAAGCCTCTTGTTCTGGCATTGACCAAATAGTTACCCAAGACACAGGCCTTCACCTGCACCTCCAGTTCATTCAGCTAGTTCTGACAGCTTCAGGAACAATCCATGGAGCTGCTCCCAGCCTACTCTGCAAGGCCCCCCAGCCCCTGCTGGCCTCCCATGCACAGTGCAGAGGCTCATTCAGGCCCAGTGCGGGAGGCAAGGGGTACAGATCTGAGAAGCAAGGGCTTATCTCCCAGGGGCAGGGCAGAGTGAGGGATGGGCCGATGAAGAGTACGCCTGCACGGGGCAGCAAGCAGCCCCAGGGGCTTAAACTGTGTCCAGCTGCAGCAGGCCTGCCGGAGCGACCGAGCAACATTTGTGACACCTCAACTGAGGGCTGCACTTGGCAGTCACATCTTCCCAGACAGGCCATCACCAGTCCTGAGAATACTGCAAAAGCTCACCACTGAGAAATGGAGGTTACCCTCGAACCCTCAGGCATCCACACAACTCCCCTCCCTGCTTGGCTCCACTACAAACCCTGAGCGGGCATTGAGGACACAGCCATCTCCACACGGGGTATGAGAAGGAACAGCGGCCTTCCTGTGAGTAAATGCAGCAACCCAGCACACACAGCACTGCCACATGGAAAGCCTGGCTCAGGTCACAGTCAAATCCCAGTTAAGGATGTGGCTCGCTGGTTGCAGATGGAAACTTCTAGCAACCCAGAAACCAACTGTGAGAGTTCATGATGAGGGACATGATCCCACCACTCTCGGTAGACACCAACGCAACATATCAAGTGTTCGCAGCTCACCCACCCACCCATCCCAGCCGGGTTGGCCTCCCAGCCAGGCCCTTTCCGGCGGCTCCGCCAGCCTGCTCATCCAGCAACGCGGACTCCACAGGGTGAGCACAATGTCAACACTTGTTCTGCAGTTTGCTGCTGAGTCCTGCTTCCATCACTGCAGTGCCCACTTCACTAAGGAGTGAACCTGGGAGAAGGCGCCTGGCCTGGCTGTGGCCCAGCAGGGATCCAGGCCCAGAGGGCTGGGCTCAGCCCTGTGGAGACCCCCCTACCCTGAGGAAATCCTGCACAGGAATCTGTGGGCAGAGCAGGCAGTGTTCTCCAAGGCGCGTTGTCACCCCTGAAAGGCAGATCGGTTCCCTGGGAGGAATCTGCTATCTTCATACTGTTCCACATCTTCAAATAAATGTGCATTACTTTTTAACCTTAGAAACTGAACTTCCGAGGCGGAAGGGGCTCTGAAGCTGTGTGCAAGGTGCACTGTACGTGAGGGGCGCCCACCACGCGTCAGGAAACGCCCCCGTGAAACTGTCAACTAAAATGCCCTCTCCCCTCAGTTCGGTCAGAAGCAGACTACAGAGAACAGTGCCAAAATTTTAGGTCACTGCGATTTGTATTTCTGTTTCTGAATAAATATTTTGTAAACAAAATTATTAAACACTTGGAAAATGTGTTCCCAATTAAAGTCAATTTGTAGCTACATACTTAAAAATACCACATACACGGCCAGGTGCGGTGGCTCACGCCTATATTCCCAGCACTTTGGGAGGCTGAGGCAGGTGGATCACCTGAGGTCGGGAGTTCGAGACCGGCCTCACCAATATGGTGAAACCCCCATCTCTACTAAAAATACAAAAATTAGCCGGGCGTGGTGGCACCTGCCTGTAATCCTAGCTACTTGGGAGGCTGAGGCAGGAAAATCGCTTGAACCTGGGAGGCAGAGGTTGCAGCGAGCCAGATCATGCCATTGCACTCCAGCCTGGGCAACAAGAGTGAAACTCCGTCAAAAAACCAAAAATGCCTGGCGTGGTGGCTCATGCCTGTAATTGCAGCACTTTGGGAGGCTGAGACGGGCAAATCACGAGGTCAGGAGTTTGAGACCATCCTGGTCAACATGATGAAACCCCGTCTCTACTAAAAATACAAAAAATTAGTTGGGTGTAGTGGTGGGTGCCTGTAATACCAGCTACTCGGGAGGCTGACGCAGGAGAATCACTTGAACCCAGGAAGCAGAGGTTGCAGGGAGCTGAGATTGCGCCACTGCACTCCAGCCTGGACAACAAAGCGAGACTCCATCTCAAAACAAAAAACGCCACACACACAGACTAAACCTGTAGAGAAATGCTAGGAAAACAGCTGATTACTCAGCCACTGTGCACCACGGCAGAAACAAGTGGGCTTTGCTGTACAGTATCACAGGTGAACATGATGACAGTCCAGGGAATGAGGCTCCAGCTACACTTCTAGGTCATAGCAGCTGTTCTCTCCTGTCTCTGTGGTCCCCAAAGTCACATTCTCTGAGCGGTTTATAATTTTGAAGGCTACCAAAACAGGCACTACAACTACTACTAATGCTGAACAAATGATGTTTTTAAAAGATAAAAATGCTATACAGAAACAAAATAGTGCTTTAGGTTTATTGCTATAAAACACATACCCTTTAAACTAGGGTCCATGAGGATTAACTTTCGACATCAGGGGACTGTCAGAGGTCGTGGACACCCCCAGCCCCAGCCAGGTGCTGAACAAGGTAAAAATAATTTGCTCTGCAACCCTGTGTGGGGGGGAATAAAAGTAACCCAGCGTCCATTTAATAATGCAGCCAAGTGAAATTCCTTTCCCCACCTTACAAAGCACCATTAGATAACACAGCCGAACCGATCCTGCAGAAAGGTCGCTGGAGGGTCAGGCCGTAACTAACGCCACATTCCCATTTTGTTTGCTGGATAATTTTTTAATAAAGTAAGGTTTACATCACTGATATTTAAGAATGGCTATATGCACAAAAGAAAACACACCTTTTTGGCTAAGGGGTAAAGAAGTTAGAGAAAGCATGAGAAACAGGGAGCCTGTGGGGTGAGGCGGGGCAGGAGCGGAAGGCCGCAGGCACCCCCAGCTCACTCCCTGCCTGCGGCAGCACCCATGGCCCTACAGATCAAGGTGCCATGAATGACAACAAGGATTCAGATCTCTTTCATTCTAGACTTCAACCTAGCCTTAACCTTTTGTTTCAGCACCAATCTAACAGAGCAGTGCAGGCATTTCTCATCCAGCAGCAATGCTGTTTCCTCACCCAGGGCGGGTGCCTGGGCTGACCCTGACGGGAGCCTCCAGAAACACTGCCTTAAGAAGGCACCACTGAGGGGTTCTGAGGTCCCTGAAGACCAACTGGTGCCCGTGATCTCCAAACAGACAAATATTTGACCTTTGTCTTCAATGACATTTACATATAAATAGACATAAATAAAATCCTCCATAATTTACACTTAAGTCTAGGAAGATGTGGCTCCCACAGATTTTCTAACGACAAAAAAAAGTGTAGCTGTGTGCGGTTCTTGCTTTTCACCCAGGTCTCCCTGTAGCACAGAACATAGTGAAGTATCATCACACACACACTTAAAGTAAAACATGATACATTCACACTGTTGACTCAGACTGTAGTGATGCTCACTGCGAAAAAAAAAAAAAAAAAAAGCCCTTATTTAAACCTTAAAAAAACGAAACACACCAACTGCAATTGTTTAGGCTATAAAAGTTCTAATGTAGCAGCAAAGGATGTTTATAGAAAAAATATACTTTTAAGAAAATAGCTGAAAAAATCTAAAGAGATAAGGTATAAAAAGTTTAAAAAATATATCTTAAGACAAAATACTGCCCAAAACATATAAAACTGAATTGTAAAAATTCACCTATCTAAATGTAAAGGAGGTTGATGCAGCTGTGGCCTGCCGTCCTCTACAGTGGGGGACACAAAGAGACACAAAAGTCCCAGGGCTGTGGGGACATGAGAACTGGCCCAGAGACAGAAGCCTTCCAGAACAGCCTCTGCCTGACCCTCCACAGGGGGGAAGTAAGTGGGATGGGCCTGGGGCTGCAGACCCCACTGGTAATGGGCTGTTCTGGGATTTCTCAGAATCAGCAGACAGGGCAGCAAGGCTGGGCCGCTGGCGGCAGGCGCACCCTCCGTGGGAGCCAGTGCTCACGTGTCCATGCGTCAGAGGCGGCTGTGAGCGCTCAGGGATCCTGCTCAGGTCTCCACCAGGATCTCCACTACATGGTCCAGCTCGCCCAGGTCAGACTTGCAGCTGGCGCTAGGGCCCGGGGTGGCTGGAGCCAAGCCCTCGAGCCCTTCACAGGGGCCTGGCCTGGCGCCCCCCATCATGCCTGTCAGTACTGTGTCCAGGTCGTAGTAGGGACTGTCCACATCTGAGAACAGCTCTTCCATGCAGCTGGGGTTTTTAGTCTCCAGCGTTTCAAATATCTGATCAAGTGACTTGTGAAAGCTTCCTCTGTTTTCTCGAGGGCCATCCATCTCCCAGACGCTGCTCTGCGGGTGCCTTGGTGCCTGCGCTGAGGTAACTGGGCAAAGGTCAGAAACTGGGCCCTGTGTGTGGCCATCTCCCAACCCAGGGGCAGGACATGCCCCCTCCTGCTCCCACGCTGCACGGCACAGGATCTCCGTGGAGACCAAGCGGTCGAGTGGCGCCCGCCCTGCAGCCTGGGGTGCCACTGCGCGCCACGTCCCATCCTGCGTCATCTCCTCTTGGATCTGCCGGACCGTGTTGGCAATGAGGACTGAGCGGCACAGATTGGGCTCCACAAGCATGTGGCAAAGCTGCAGCTTCACCAGAGACATGTCCAGGAGCGACTGCCGCTGTAGGCTGTACGAGGACACGGTCTTCAAGCCGGCCAGGGCTCCCTCCACGTCTTCCTCGTGGCCAACACATTTCCTCTTCAGTCCTCGTGCAAACATTGTGTCCTGCAGAAACCAAGGAAGATACCACTTAGCACACAGCAGACTCTCTAGCAGACAATGCCCCTTGGATTCCGTCTGACTGCCCTGACTGTACACAAGGAGCAGTCACTCTGTAACAGGCAGGGAAGTCAGAGCTGAGATGTGGAGCCCAGTGGGAGACCCCCTCAGATCAGCTGCCATCCTGTCTAATCCAGGCAGAGTCACGTTGTGAGAAACAACAAACCTCTAAACTGTACCACAGCAGTGATCTCCAGCAACAAAAGGTAAATGAACTAAAAGTAGGAGAAATATATAAGAGAAATATAAGCGTTTGACAGCTTGGCTGAAAATCTGTATCAAAAAATCAAATTGTAGTGCATACAAAAGAAGAGACCCTGGGGTAACATGAGATGAATGTGAACCATGCCAGCCTGCAGAGGGCGCAGGGCTGGGGACAGGGCCGGGCGCACACACCTACCATTCCAACTTCCCTCAGGATCCTGCCTGGGACAAAGTCACTTCTGTGTTCAGAGGGTTAGTGCCTTCCCCCTCAATACTTTCACTAAAAGCCTCTATATGTCGCAGACAGCCATGCTGGAAAGCTGTGCCACCAGCAACGTGCAGGGGAAGGACTGCAGGGCTGTATGCTCTTCCCATGCAGCGAGTGGGCTGTGTTTCGTGCACAATTCTCCAAGGGACACAGGGTCCCCTGGCAGAGCCCATGTGGCCCTGGGCAGCCCCTTGTTCCCACACCCACCCATGCTGCGTGCCTTAGGGATCACACCCATTCCTTGGCTCCCCCCACCCGCCCCCACCAGTTCATTTCTCCCAAGGTGCAGAGGCTCTGCCTGGCTGCTTTCTACTTGACATCTCTCAGGGTCAATGCCCTCCACTGGAGAGCTCTTGACGAGTTGGCACAACCATGGCTTCAGGGGCCACCTCCTCCCTCTCATCCCAACTCCTTTCTCTTCAAAGGAACCAAAACATGGCAAGGTGTGTGTTGGGGGGGGCGGGGGGAAGGGGGGTTCCCCACCAGTGTGTTGTGGCAGCCCACAGCTGGCCAAGGCAGCATTTCTCAGCGTGTGTCTCAGCAATGGCGCTGCTGGTTGAAGATGCAGATTCCTGGACTTTACCCCAGACCTGGGCAACTCCAGGCTGGTACCTGAGGCTCAGCCTTGCTGAGCAGGCTCTACTCAGACGCACAGCACAGATGCACTAGATGGACATCGGCCATGTCTACTCTTAGAAATACAAGTCTGTGCAAACTTTTTTTTTTAACTGATTCTAAATTGGGATATCTCTGGGGCATTAAAGGCAGAGCAGAGAAGAGGGTGGGCTCTGGCTTTTGACAGGTGCCATTCTGAGCCAGTGCCGCCTGTGGGGAGCTGGGAGGATGACAGCTGGCTCAGGGCCACACTGGCCGGCAGAGTCTGACAGGACAAGCATCTCACACATGATTAAGTTTATCTCTTCTCATGCTTGTGATGTAGTGAAATATTATTTCAAATCAAGTTATGCATAAATAGGGTTACAATCTTTTGAATATGCAAACTTTGGAACTTCTTTTTCTCTTAGTCAATCTGATGGCTCCCTGTGACCAGGGTATACCCAGGTTGCTTTTGGAAAGCTGGGGTATGGGAGGCATATGCTGTCTCTGCTCGGGGTCTGGAGACCAAGGATGGGAGGTTCTGCAGTGCGGGAGAACTGGCTGCCAACCATACCCCTTCCCAGGAGCCCCTCTGGAGGCTCCCACCTGCTGGTCCTACCTTGAATCAACAGAAGAAAGGTTCCCCCTGTTCTCTGAATTTCCTTTCAGTGTCATAGATCTCAATTGCCTGTGCATTTAACACACCTAAATGTTTTAAAACTAAGTGACGTCTTGGGCATTTATCCGAGAGAAATAAACCAATGTTCATGCAAAAACATGTTCCAGAATGTCCATAGCAGCTTTATTTGTAATAACTCCAACCAGAAACAAGGAAAACGTCCCTTTCACCTGGGCATGGTGACACACACTCTGCTCCATTTATGCCACCAAATCCTACTCTGCAATAGAAAGGAATGAACTGTTGATACACACAACGGATCCTTCCACAAGGGAATTATGCTGAGGGAGAAAAGCCAACCTCAGAGGGGTGCCTGCTGTGCGATCCCATTTATGCCACACTGCAGTGCTGACCCAGAGCTGAGGGGTGGCATGGCTAGAAAAGGACCTGTGCAGGGAGATCTCGGGGGTGAGGGCCCTTCTGCTCCTGGGCTGTGGGGGTGGTTCCACTCTGACTGCACAGCACGGGACACACGCACATGGGCCTGCAGCAGCCATGTGATCCCATGGACCTGGGGCCTGGCTGTGCATCCTATGAGGATGCCAACCCTGGGGAGCAGAGGAAGGGCACACGGGACCTCCTAAACACTGCTCTGCGACCTCCCCTGGTTCTACAATTATTTCAAAATTAAAACTAAAATAAAACTTACATAACCCTAGCTTATTTCCCCTACAACACCAATTTCCCCAGCAGCATGCAAGTGTCACCACAGGCACAACCCTCCGGCTGTGCACCACCTCTCACACCTGCATACACCAGCTTCTCAACTAACTCTACATGAAGGACACTTTACCACCAAAACACATTTAAACATTTCAACTACTTCTGGTAAATATTCAAGTTCTTTGTGTCAGCCACAAATTTAACTTTTCAGAGGTTTTCATCCCAATCCACTGAGAGTGCAGTGGTACCATCTCAGCTCACTGCAACCTCCACCTCCCGGGTTCAAGCAATTCTCCTGCCTCAACTTCCCAAGTAGCTAGGATTATAAGATGTGCACCACCACGCCCAGCTAATTTTGCATTTTAATAGAGATGGGGTTTCACCATGTTGGCCAGGCTGGTCTCGAACTCCTGACCTCAAGTGATTCGCCCACCTCAGCCTTCCAAAGTGCTGGGATTACAGGCATGAGCCATCACACCCAGCCACATTGTTTAAATCACTGGCTTAAAATTGCTAAGTATATTGAGAATTAACATAAGGCTATGTCAAACTACAAAAGACACCCTGTGTTGAGGAAAAGATGAAGTGCCACGGGTTCCTCTGTGGGAAGTCACTATACCTTTTGGGTTTTTAGTTTCTCTTTCAACCCTATCTCAATCCCAAGCCTGCATAACAATGGATTAATTTAAGACCCAAACCAAATCCTCTTGAACAGCATGCATTCAGCCCAAGTTTACAGACAGAAGAACCCCTGGCTGCCTCCCTTGACTCTGGACACCCAGCAGCACAACCCCCATAATGTAGGGTCTACAGGAGGTCAGCAAGGCTGACCAGGACAATGAGGGCAACTCACAGAAGGAACGAGAATACCAATGGGACAGACCAAGAAGACCCACAACCACACTGGCAACCAGCTCAGGAAGCTGGCCCAAGCTCCTAGTATCCTCTGGGTCCCACTTTCCTTTCCTCTGAGTCCTTAGAAACGCCAGGTCATGAACCTCCCATTGGGGATCTTAAGAGGATGAATTAAGTGCTTGGCCTGGTGCTGTCAGCAGTCCTAAGGGCAGCACTAGGAATCTGTGACCATCGGAAATCACCCTAACAGCTGCTCTGAGCGAGGGAATACACCAACAAACAATGGCGGAACCACGCACAGAAGCAGAACTATCAGCCGTAATCTGCGGCAAGTGGTCCGAAAGCAGCCCTTTACCTTCAGTAACCAGCCAGGAAGCCGGGTTGCCCTCGTCATTCTTGCAGGAAGCCTGGCTGCTTTCTCTAGGAAGCTAAACAGTCATTTCCACAGCAAGCAGCCCAAAATGGCCAGGACATGATTAGCTGACAACCTCTCCAGTTTTTGTCCCTGCTTCCAATTTAGGACCAACCAGAGAAAGCCAAATGTGTTCTAAGCCATCTCATAGGAGCCCCACTTCTTTCTGTTGTTGTTGTGTCACCCAGGCTGGAGTGCAGTGGCATGGTCTCAGCTCACTGCAACCTCCACCTCCCAGGTTCAAGGGATTCTCCTGCCTCAGCCTCCCGAATAGCTGGGATTACAAGCGTGTACCACCAGGCCTGGCTAATTTTTGTATTTTCAGTAGAGACGGGGTTTTTACCATGTTGGCCAGGCTGGTCTCAAACTCCTGACCTTGGGTGATCCACTCACCTTGGCCTCCCAAAGTGCTGGGATTATAGGTGTGAGCCACTGTGCCAGGCCAGGAACCCCACTTCTAACCAGCCACCCCAGTCCCCCAAGTCAGCAGCCTCCATCAGCCATCCCTGAGCTTCCCTGGTTTCCACTGTAAAGCTCTCCTGTTCCCTCGCCTGCCTATGAGTTTCTGCCAATCACAAGGGAGAAGGGCCGCACCCTTGCTAGGGTAAGCTCTGGATAAACAGCCTCTGCCTGTTCTCACCTGGTTGCTTATTTCCACAGCTCACTGTAGACAATCTGGAAGAGTATCAAAAACCACAAAACAAATTTCCTCTCAGGATCCTATCCACTCAGAAAAAAAGTCACCACCTGGGTTCTTCCTTTCCTGGGTTCCTCCTTTCCAGCTGTTTCTCCCAGCACTTTCCTCTCTGCATAAGGGAGGGAAGTTTCATACTACTGACAATTTTCCCAATCACAAATGATACCAGTTTCTAACTTTAGGTGCTTTGGTATTTCTAGCATTTGGCTTCCTCAGCCTCGACTCTACTTACTAGGGTGAGGTGCAGGTACATTTTTAAGACGCTTGACAAACATCAAACTGCATCCTAAGAAGGTGGAACAATCCATCAACCTTCCCCTGCACTAATTTCTGCACACTTGCTGGTAAAGCTTCCTCTTGCTTTTCCAAGTCTCTGAGCCCCACAGCTAAGCATTCCTTCCCTCTTCCACTAAGCTCCACCTCTGTGTTCCTATCCTGTTCCACAGCTGCTCTCTGCCAGGGCCAGACACCCTGGCCTCCCTGTGTAGGTCCTTTTCTGGCCATGCCACCCTTCAGCTCTGGGTCAGAACAACAATGTGGCATAAATGGGATCCCACAGCAAGCATCCTTCTGCGGTTGGCTTTTCTCCCTCAGCATAATTCTCCTGAGATCCTTGCAAACTGTCTTGTGTGTCAACAGTTCACAACAGAGTATGATTTGGAGGCACAGACGGAGCCCAGCGTCACCGCGCCCCAGTTGAAGGGGACTTTTTCCTTGTTTCCAGTTTGGAGTTATTACACATAAAGCTACTAAGGACACTCTAGAACATGTTTTTGCATGAACATTGGTTTTTCATTTCTCTTGGAAAAATGCCCAAGAAATAACCGTTTTATAAAATTTAGGAGTGTTAAATGCACAGTCAGTGAGATCTATCACACTGAAAGGAAATTCAGAAAACAGGGAACATTTTTTTCTGTCTATTCAAGGGCAGGACCAGCAGGTGTGAGCCTCCAGAGAGGCTCCTGGGGAGGGGTGGCGGTCCTTGGCCTAGTTTCATCTCTCTCAGTTGTAAGCATTCTTTTTTTTTTTTTTTTTAAAAGACGGAGTCTCACTCTGTCGCCTGGGCTGGAGTGCAGTGGTGCCATCTCAGCTCACTGCAACCTCCACCTCCCGGGTTCAAGCAATTCTCCTGCCTCAACTTCCCAAGTAGCTAGGATTATAAGGTGTGCACCACCACGCCCAGCTAATTTTGCATTTTAATAGAGACGGGGTTTCGCCATGTTGGCCAGGCTGGTCTCGAACTCCTGACCTCAAGTGATTCGCCCACCTCAGCCTCCCAAAGTGCTGGGATTACAGGCATGAGCCATCACACCCAGCCACAAGCATTCTTTTAAGACTTAAACAGGCCGGGCACAGTGGCTCACGCCTGTAATCTCAGCACTTTGGGAGGCTAAGGTGGGCAGATCACAAGATCAGTAGATTGAGACCATCCTGGTCAACACGATGAAACCCTGTCTCTACTAAAAATACAAAAAATTAGCTGGGTGGGGTGGCACATGCCTGTAGTCCCAGCTACTCGGGAGGCTGAGGCAGGAGAATCGCTTGAACCCGGAAGGCGGAGGTTGCAGTGAGCAGAGATCGCGCCACTGCACTCCAGCCTGGGCGACAGAGTGAGACTCCATCTCAAAAAAAAAAAAAACACTTAAAATAAGTTGAATGCACACGATCTGGCGTATTCTGACAAAGGAATGCAACTCAGCAACAAACCTCAATGATTTATGCAACATGGATAAATTTCAAAACATTATGCTGAATAAAAGCAGCAAGACACACACAAAAATATGTACTGTAGGATTCTATTGATCCGAACCTTCAGGACAGGCAAAGTTAATGGAAGTTGTGAAAACACAGAAGGGTAGCCACCATCCGGGTGGGAAATGCTACAAGGGGCCAGAGGGAATCCTCCAGAATGATGGAGATTCTCTCGCCCCTTGTAGCACTTGCGTAACCCAGGGACCTGCGTAGATGTGCCTGGGTTATACAAGTCCTACAAGGGACGAGAGAGAATCTCCATCATCCTCCACTGCATCTCATCCCATCCACAGATCCCATTCTGGTACCATGAGAATATTCCTGTTCAGTCACTTCAAATCATTGCTGTCCAATGTTCCAAATCTCCAGCAGCTAATTCTGTGTTGTACCCAATATTTTAAAATGCTAACAAGTTTATTACTATTAATACAAAAAGGAGTAAAGCTCACAGGTGTTTTTTACAGTCGCGTGACCCCTAAGAGCTGTCACCCACAACGTGCGTTCAGGGGTGAAGAGGATAAGGTTGGGCCCGGAGAAGCTGGCCTGTGAGGATCACCCTGAATTGGGCCATATCTGTGTTTGGGACAAAGTCACCAAGAGCATCATCTTGACCAGCCCTGAGGGATGCCTGGGCTGGGCCCAGCTCCCTGAGGGCCTCCAGTGTGACTCTGGCCCGAGGCTGCTTAACTCCTTCTAATATGGAAGGAAGGGCCCTATACCATACGGGCGGGGCTGTGGAGCCTAGCTCCCTGCTCAATTTTTTTTTTTTTTAAGAAGGAGTCTCATTCTGTCCCCCAGGCTGGAGTGCAGTGATGCAATCTCAGTTCACTGCAACCTCCACCTCCCAGGTTCAAGCGATTCTCCTGCCTCAGCCTCCTGAGTAGCTGGGACTACAGGCACGTGGCACCACACCTGGCTAATTTTTGTATTTTTTGCAGAGACGGGGTTTCACCATGTTGTCCAGGCTGATCTCCAACTCCTGACCTCAGGCAATCCGACCACTTCAGCCTCCCAAAGTGTTGGATTACAAGTGTGAGCCACCATGCCTGACCCCCTGCTCAGTTTTGAAGCTCCTTCTACACATCTAGTTAAATGCCTAAAATCCCACCAACTCCACAGGGTGTCAACGGGACAGCCAAGGCGTTCACCCCTCAGTCAACTCCCAGCACCGCCCTTAGGCTTCTAAACCAAGCATCAACCAGAAAGAGAAAAACCAAGAGGGTCAGACAGACTGAAGATATGTCTGACATGGCAGGTGGGACAGCCTACAGGCCACTAGGGACAGAGTAAACTAAGCCCACGGAGGCAGAGGCCAGCAGAGAGCAGCCCCGCAGTGCTACTCAGGCAAGCAGAGTACAGCTGAGGGACCGGCCCTTCACTACAGCAGCAGCCGCCACACCTTCGTGGCTGAGCAATCCCATGAGGCTGGCTGAAAATGCAGATTCCCAGATTCTGACCAATAGGGCTGGGACTGCTGGGGACAGACTCAACTCTGACCTAACCTGTCACCTTCACAGCTGGACTTGCAGCCACTTCGAAGTTTCGGGTTAAGCAAATTATCAACAATTTCCATTTCTCACACATCAGATAAGCTTTGAAATACTCTATCGGAAAAACAGGAAGAAGAGGAGCAAGGTCTTCAGTCTTGAGATCTACTGGGTGGGAGCTCCACCTTCCACTACAGTCTGCTGGAGGCTGTTCCTGAACAATTACTGATACGTTAATTTCAGGGGTTTTTTTTGTTTTGTTTTGTTTTTGAGACGGAGTCTTACTCTGTCGTCCAGGCTGGAGAACCTCCGCCTTCCGGGTTCAAGTGATTCTTCTGCCTCAGCCTCCCGTGTAGCTAGGATTACGATTACAGGCATGCGCCATCACGCCCAGCTAATTTTTGTATTTTTAGTAGAGACGGGGTTTCACCATGTTGGCCAGCTGGTCTCGAACTGGGGACCTCAGGTGATCCACCCGCCTAGGCCTCCTCCCAAAGTGCTGGGAAGTGTGAGTTACCGCGCCCAGCTAATTTCAGGTACTTTTGTTACTTGGAACGATACACCTTCCTTTCCCTGAAAACATGTTCCAATGGCAAGTTGAGGGAAACTTCCTGGCCCCTTTTCTAAGATAAAGCCTACCACTCTTCCTAGAAAAAGGGTGTAACTCACTTTGTGTTGATTTCCACCCTAATTATAAAACATGGTGACACTTGAAAATAGAGTGGTTGTACGTAGAAAGTTTATAAAACCTAAGTTTTGGGAACAGGCGATGTTTTTCTGTGGCTCACTTTGAGAGAACGGTTATCTGGGTCCTGCCGTCTCGTGAGTCCCACACGAAGGCCACAGGAGAGGCGAGGCAGCGGAGACCCTCTATTCCAGCAAGCTGTAGGAGCCTTTGTCACGACGATCCTGTTTACTGGACGAGAAGCGTTTGAAAACGCGCAGGGAAGCTTGCCTCTGACTTCTGCAAATGTCTCGGGGACTCTTCCTAATCCCACCTCGGAACGCCGGAGGAGCCCAGGAAAGACGGCGCTGGCCGACCCGCCCGGGGTCTGGGCCTCCTCCCACATCCTCGGCCCTCTCCGCGGCCGGGATACAATTGAGGGGGCTGCAGCGCGCCCTGGCCCGGTTAGTGAGGTCGGCCGGGGACAGGGCGGGGGCGGCCGTGGCGGGGCGCGCCCGGCGTTCCCTCCGCGGCAACTAGAGCCGAGGTACAGGAAACGCCGCTGCGTACCCCAGCCGGGCCCTCGCGAAGTCGCTCCCGTGTGGGGCCGCCCGGAGGCCTCGACGAAGCCCCAGCTCCGCAATCCGCATGGAACGCAGACGGCGGCCCGGGCCCCTCTGGTCCCCGGGCCCCCTCAGCAGCGGCCACCCCGCGGTGGAACCAGCGCCCAGGAGGGCGGCGAGGGCGCCCGCGGCAGCCCCAGCGGGAACCCTGAGCGCCGCCTCCGCCCCGGACCCAAGCCAGCGCCAGGAGCCACAGACTCCGCGCACCGCCCCCGGGCTCCTCCGCGCCCGGCAGCACAAACGCGCGCGCCGCCGTAGACGCCCTCGCGGTCAGCCAGACCCGCTCACCTGACCCGCGAGGCCGCCCGCCGGCTCCTCTGCTCAGCCGCCGCCACCGCCGCCGCCACCAGCTTCCCGCCGCTGAGGGAGGAGCGCCCGCCGGCGCGGGGCGGGGCGTGCGACCGCCACTCAGCGTCCACAAAGGGTCGACGCTGCGCCCTCCGCGCGCCGTGCCCACTGATTGGCCACCCACGGACCGGGGGCGGGGCCTCTTGTTCAAACCCGCGCGGGCGGGGCATCTGCGGCGCGTGTTCCCGCGCTGCGGCGACGGCCGTTGGGGCTCGCGCGCGCCCTCGGTCGCCCCGCCCCCGCCTCCGCCTCCGCGCCGGGCCCCGCGACGCCCACGCCCCGCCGGCTCCCAGGTCTCCCCGCGCCCAATCCGGCCCCGCCCAGCCCCGCCGGCTCGCAGGTCTCCGCACGTCTGGTCCTAAACTGAATGCGCCTGCGCTGGGGGCCCACGTGGTGCCCTCGGGAGGGCGTGGCGGGGCAGCCTGGTAGGGGCTGATCCTCTCTCGCTTCTGCCTAGGTTAACTTCTCTGCCGAGGGATCCGTGCCGGGGTGGGGAGGAGCCGGGAACGGCAGTTCCCGGGCGGCCTGGGCTCCGAAGTCTATCCCAGCCTCTCCAGAAACCGCGGTTATCTCTAGAGGCTTCCCAGGTTTACACGTAAGAAATGTAACGTGAAAGTAGAAAGCAGGGAAACACGTGTTTTAAATCTCTTAGTGGAAAAGGTTTTAAATAGGATACAAGAGTCTAATATTCTTTGAACGCCTGCAGCAGGCCCGGCAGGCGTGGCTGCAGCTGAGAACCCTGTGCTGGTGGTGGGGGAATCCTCAGCTGAATCCGCAGATGCGGATGCGCCAAGGTCAGTGGTTAATGCTGAAATGCTGTCGGAAAAAGCTGGGAGTGACGTTGGGGCGCTGCTCACATAGGTCTCTAGGATAAGAGGCGTCTTAAAGCACCAAAAGGAAGAGTGGAAGAGAATTCCAGGAGAGGAATGGCTAGGACAAAGCCCGAGGCAGGGGCAGGAAGAAGTCTCAGTGCAGTGAAAAAGAACCCTGTGATCTCGTGGGAAAGTTTAAATGTGAGAGGTGGAGTGATTTTGAGGCTGTTCTCTGAGTGGGATGGAGACTACTGGGACGGTCAGCAGAGAAGGAACTGGGATCTGAATTATGCTTGAAAAGAATCACTGTTCTTATTTAAAAAAAAAACAAAACGGGTTTATTTCGCCCATGCTGGAGGACAGTGGCGTGATAATGGCTCACTGTATCCTCGAACTCTTGTGCTCAAGTGATCCTCACGCCTCAGCTTCCCACGTAGCTGGGACTACAGAAGTGTGTGCCACCACACCAAGCTAACCTTTTTTTTTTTTTTTTTTTTTTTGGTAATTTTGTAGAGACAGAGTATTGCCTTGTTACACAGGCTGGGCTCCAACTCCTGGCTCCAACTACCTTGGCCTCCCCAAGTTCTGGGATTACAGGCATGAGTCACTACAACCACCAAGAATCACTGTTGGTAGAAGATTTGGAGGAGGCGGCAGGAAGGCTGGAAGTAGAAAATCCTATTAGGTTATTTTCCAGGTAAAAGAAAATGGGACTTGACAAAGGTGACTACCTGAGACTTTAAAGTTTATGCATATCAAAGTGAAAAGACTAATGGGGAAAAAAGGTTTTCCTGGCTGTATCCCACATAAAGGTTAAATTCCTTAATATACAGATATTCTGCAAATGAAATCTAGATCACCAAAGAAAAGTGGTTTGGACATGGTGGCACCCATCTGTAATCCCAGCTACTCAGGAGGCTGGGGTGAGAGAATCCCTTGAACCCGGGAGTTGGAGGCTGCAGTGACCTATGATTGCACCACTGCACTCCAGCCTGGGCAGACAAGAGCAGTGGAAATTAAAGCTGTGTTGGAGTGCCGTTTGCCACAGGTCAAATTGGCAAAGATCTAAAAATAATGTCTGGAGTAAGATAATATCTTCCAGAGCATATTAGTCTATTCTCAGGCTGCTAATAAAGACATACCCGAGGCTGGGTAATTTATAAAGAAAAAGAGGTTTAATGGACTCACAATCATGGCTGAAGACCTAGGAAAAGCAAAGGGACGTCTCACATGGCGGCAGGCAAGAAAGTCTGTGCAGGGATCTCCCCTTTATGAAACCATCAGATCTCAGGAAACGTATTCACTATCCAGAGAACAGAACAGGAAAGATCTGCCCCATGATTCAGTTACCTCCCGCCAGGTCCCTCCCATGACATGGGAGTTATAGGAGCTACAATTCAAGATGAGATTTGGTGTGATATTTCGACATATATATACAAAGTATAATGATCCATCAAGGTAGATAGCGTATCCATCACCTCAAACATCATTTCTTTGTGTTGGGAACATTCAAAATCCTCTCCTCTACCTATTAGAAAATATGCAGTAAGTTACCGTTAACTGTAGTCATAAAATATTAACAGGCTTGCTAGGACATAGGACCAGAAAAAGAAAACATAGAAGCCGTCTATGGTTACACCAGGATTGGAGTCATATTTTTCAGTAACACTAATGTATTCAGGAAAATTGATGACAAGGAGAACTAGAATCCATTAAAAAAAAGACTCAAAGGCCGGGTGCGGTGGCTCACGCCTGTAATCCCAGCACTTTAAGAGGCTGAGGTGGGCGGATCACAAGGTCAGGAGATCGAGACCACGGTGAAACCCCGTCTCTACTAAAAATATAAAAAAAAAATTAGCCGGGCGCAGTGGCGGCCGACTGTAGTCCCAGCTACTCAGGAGGCTGAGGCAGGAGAATGGCGTGAACCCGGGAGGCGGAGTTTGCAGTGAACTGAGATGGCGCCACTGCACTCCAACCTGGGCGACAGAGCAAGACTCCGTCTCAAAAAAAAAAAAAAAGACTCAAATTGAAGAAGCAGCATCAGTCTTACACAGTCTTCCAGGTGATAAAGGGGAACTCTTCTTACCAATTTGTTCTACAGGGCTAACAAATTTGATACTAAAACTCGAAAGGGACGTGATGGGAGAAAACACACAGGCTATTCTCTCTCATGAACACAGTTCAAAATTGCAAACCACATATTAGCAAATCAGATCCAGTGATAATGTGAAAAAGGTAGCTCATCACAACCAAGTTGGGTGTACTCCAGGAATTGGAGTACAGTTGATTTCACATTGCAAGGTCAACATGATTCATAACAGAATTAAGGAGAAAAAAAGTATGAAAATCTCAGTGTAGAAACATCTAGTAAAATTCAATACCCCTTCATGGTATAATCTTTAGCAAACTAAATATACAAGTGCAAAGTTAGGAACAGCCCCAAGACCACCCTCAAGTTTGAAATTCACTAGAAGGACTCACAGAATTCCCTAGAAGCTATTGTACTCATGGTTATGGTTTATTACCATGAAAAGGCTCATTAAAATTAACCAAGGGAAGAGGTGCATGAGGCAGGGGCCAGGAGAGGCCATGCGGAGACTCCAGTTGTTCTCTTGGAGTCACAGATAGTGGTATTGCTGGTGAAAATGTGTCACTGAGCTTGAGTCCAGAGTTCATTTACTTCCCAAATGAATATACACATTTACTCTATTGCCAGTCAAAATCCCAGGATATTTTTGAAACCTTACAAAATACTATTAAAAATCTAGAGAAATGGCCGGGCACAGTGGCTCATGCCTGTAATCCCAGTACTTTGGGAGGCTGAGGTGGGCGGATTACCTGAGGTCAGGAGTTTGAGACCAGCCTGGCCAACATGGTGAAACCCTGTCTCTACTAAAAATACAAAAATTAGCCAGGCATGGTGGCATGTGCCTGTAATCCCAGCTACTTGGGAGGCTGAGGCACGAGAATTGCTTGAACACAGGAGGCGGAGGTTGTAGTGAGCTGAGATTGATTGCACCACTGCACTGCAGCCTGGGCAACACAGCGAGACTCCGTCTCAAAAAATAGATAAATAGGCCGGGCGCGGTGGCTCAAGCCTGTAATCCCAGCACTTTGGAAGGCCGAGACGGGTGGATCACGAGGTCAGGAGATCGAGACCATCCTGGCTAACACAGTGAAACCCCGTCTCTACTAAAAATACAAAAACTTAGCCGGGCGAGGTGGCAGGCGCCTGTAGTCCCAGCTACTCGGGAGGCTGAGGCAGGAGAATGGCGTGAACCCGGGAGGCGGAGCTTGCAGTGAGCTGAGATCCGGCCACTGCACTCCAGCCTGGGTGACAGAGCGAGACTCCGTCTCAAAAAAAAAAAAAAAAGATAAATAAACATAAAAAATAAAAATCTCGAGAAATACATGTGAAAGTCTAGCCTATAGATAAAGTAAGAAAGAAAAGTATTAAGGAGGAGACCCACCTCTATATCAGTTACCTTTTGCTGTATGATACACTTTTCCAAACTTAGTAGATTCAAAAGGCAGCCTTTTGTTTGCTGGCATTTCTGCGGTTGGCATTTCAACTGGGGTCAGCATGCTCTGTCTCATGAGGTATCAGCTGAGCTCACGCAAGCGTTTGGGTCTTGGCAGGGATAACTGACTCATCTCTGCTCTGTCATCCTCCAGAAGGCCAGCCCAGGCAGGAGGCCTTCCGGCGGTACCAATACAGGGGCTCTTTTTACACTTTCCTCTGCTCAGCTCACATGTGTCAATGTCCAGGTGGCCAAAACACATCTGGCCAAGCCTAGGGCCAGTGTGGACATGAGATGACAATTCCCTGGAGGACATTATTATTGTTACTATTATTTTGAGACAGAATCTTGCTGTGTTGTCCAAGCTGGGGTGCAATGGTGGGATGCTCTCGACTCACTGCAACCTCCACCTCCTGAGTTCAAGGATTCTCCTGCCTCAGCCTCCCCAGTAACTGGGATTACAGGCACGTGCCACCACACCTGGCTGATTTTTGTATTTTTAGTAGAGACAGGGTTTCGCCATGTTGGCCAGGCTGGTCTCTAACTCTTGACCTCAAGTGATCCGCCTGCCTTAGCCTCCCAAAGTGCTGGGATTACAGACGCGAGCCACTGCACCCAGCCTATTATCATTATTATTTTGAGACAAGGTCTTGCTCTGTGGCCCAGGCTGAAGTGCAGTGGTACAATCACCGCTCACTGCAGCCTTGACCTCCCCCAGCTGAAGTGATTCTCCTGCCTCAGCCTCCCAAGTAGCTTGGGCTACAGGCACACACCACCACACCAC